AAGTTCATTATTGCAGGATAGAGCTGCAATAGCATCAGGACTGTTTCTACCTTTTGAGTCAAAGATTTTCTTAAAACAGTCTTTGATTAGATGTCCTGTCTTTCCACAATAGTAACATTTCCTAACTTGGTTTTTGATTTTATTCTGACCTTTATTTTTATCCTTATATCTTGGTTTCTGAAATCTGCCCTTATTAGAGGAAGTGTAATTACATGCATTCTTCTTTTTATTTTTGGATTTGTTTATCTTTTATGTAGAGACCCTCACCAATTTTTGTATCTTTGAACTCTGACTTTAGTTCAAGTTCCTTATTTCTTAGGGCAGTTGTGATAATATCAACAGTAAGGCTTTTCCTCCCATATTCTAAAGCATTTCTGATATCTCTGTATCTTTCACTAAGAGAATTTAACATACCAACAGCCTGTTGATCATCTGAGATTTTCTCATCACAATTATCTAAATCTTAGATTAGTTTAGTATATCTATCAATATTTTCTTCTAGATTCAACGTATTATCAAATCTGAAGTTATAAAAGTGCCTAAGCAGATAGCATTTAGTAGGCATAGTTTTAGTTAAGTACAAAGTTTCCAATTTAGTCCATAGAGCCTGAGTGTCAGTGGTTTCCCCAACCTTTCTGATTACACTATCAGAGAGGTGAAGAAAAATAGTACTCCAGGCTATTTGATCAAGTTCTTGCCTTCTATAGGCACTGATTTCAGCAACCCAGGTGCCATCTAAAGCCCCAACACACCTATGTTGCAATAATAATGCTCTCATTTTCTGACGCCAAAGGCTAAAATCCCCAGTACCATTCCAAGTTTGCACTTCAAATTTTTGTACAGTAGACATATTGACAAATAAACTCACAAAATAACAGTTGTACAATACCCAAGATGAATGCAGGCGGTTATATAATACAATTGCAGTGTATGAAAAACAGTACAAATTGGATATTTAATTTTTCTGCTTATCATGCAATTATTAAAGATTACAGAGAATCAAATCTTCTTTATACGGGAGTTAGTTAGAACTTTGGTCTAAGGAGTTATAACCCTGGAGTCCACTGCTCCCTCAAATTCCCAGATCCTCAAGGGTTTTTGGACAAAGGAAAGCAATGACAGGTTACTGACCTTAGTGACCTTGTTCAAAGTTAACCCAAAAACAAGTTTCAGAATTAAGAAGGGTGTTTCAGAGGTTACCGAAATCTGAAATCTCAAGAATTCAGAGTGAAAGTACCATCAGATTACTAGAAATGATCCAAGAAAGTCAGCTCAGGTCAGCCAATCAACGAGTCACAGAGACTCAGTACCACTTAGCAGTGAGTTAAAAACTCAGTAAAGAATCGGAACGAGTTGACTCAACTCGACAAGACTCAGTATGAGTTCAAACAAAGTTAATCAAAAAACTCATCAGGGATAATAGATCTGACCGAGTCAAGTACGAGTTTCAAAATATTTAACAATTATTCTAAAAAAAAATTTTGTACAAACCCTAGAGTACCGAGTAAGGGAGAAACAATTTCCCACAAAAATAACCCTTTCCCTTTTTTTTAAAAGGATAATCCAACCAACAGTTGGTTCTTAGCAGATCGAAGAACTAGGGTTTTCAGAAAATGAGATTTCAACAGATTTAAAAGAAAGACTTTTCGAAAGCTGCTTTGATACCACTTGTTGGTATTTTAGCAAAGTGTTTGTTCGATTTTGAGAAATTTAAAACAGATTTCAGAAAATAGAAACAAGAACACAGAGAATTTTTCACCCATAAAGGGTCCGGATGTTCAGTCACAAAGACATACTCACCCGTTGAGCATCGACTGTGCGATTAAACTCTAGATCCATTAAATCTCCAAGAAACGTACAAATGTATGAAAAAATTACAGATTACTTCAAGTTCCCTCTGGCCTCTCTGTTTGAAATATGGTAACACTAAATCTTACACAAAGATTTTGTAAACAACTCTAAACACTCAACTGCAGAGAAATCATCACGAAGATGAATGGTTACCAATTCCTGAAAGAACTCTAGTTCACACACAGATAGAACAATCGAGAGAGAGAGACCAGTTCTGCCGAAAAAGTAAAGAGCCCAAAGTTAAATACTCAAAACCAATCGTCACAGATCAAAGGCAGCCAAGACGCCACGTGTACGGTAGAAGACATCACTTGAGGGAGGCAAAAAAAGTTATTTACAAGGAAACGTTTTTAGTAATGGGCCAGGTACTAAACCAATTAAATAGGCCCAGTTCTTTAGAAGTAGCGAGGCAGCCCAAATAATAACACAAATTAATCGGGAACCCAATTGCTCATTTAATTATGGTATTTCACTGGTGAAATCTTCCCAATTGCAAATAATTTTTATGAACTTTAAAATCTTTTGTGTTTTTTAATGATATTGTAGTAACATATTGTTCCATCGAGATGAGGTCAAAATATGGAAGGAAAAGCCTAGATCACCCACTTAATTATGTTCAATTTACTTCTGATCCCTCGAGTATTTGGATTGGGGTTCCAACTTTTTTTTTTTTTTTTTTTTTTTTTAATTTTTTTAAGTGCAATTTTTTTCAAACAAAATCATTTTTTTAATAATCATAATGGATGTTCCATTTTTTTTTTTTTAATAATATGTATATCTTTCTCTCCTTGTACAAAGTTTAATTGATTCAATATAACATGTGAGTTTCTAATTAGATGTAGATCAATTTTATACTATTTTTGAAATTTAAAGCTTCTGTACAACATAGATTTCATTGATTGCTTGTATTTCAGAGGCTTTGCCCTTTTGCACCCTCAAATTATTCACTTTAAAATAATTGTGGACATAGTGATGCTAGATAGAATAGCGATTATCCTGCGGGCTATCTGCAACAGATGTTTCACAAGAAGGAATACGAAGAAAAAGCCCAATGACAAAGAAAATTCTCTGAAAATTCGATTCAATTTTATTAAATTCCAGAATCATGAAAAATAACGCACAAGCAAGGTTATATAGCTGAGATAATTTGAAATTATCGAATTTTACCAAAGATAGCAAAATTTCAATAATCATACCAAAATAAGGTACGTAATAAAAGAAGCAACTTGCCAAAAATCTAGCTCAATTCAAGTTCGTAATCACCTCAAAAACAGCAACTGAAATATTACAATGAATGATAAAAAATAACAAAAAATGGAAATTCGGAAGGGAAAACAACGGATTTTGACCTCGAAATTGACGCCCACCAAACATAGCTGAAGTGACCACGACGTGCGCGCCGAAAAGAGCTTTTCGAATTGGGGTCATAATTGTAATTCTGATAATTGTAGCCAAAATTATGACCAAATTATCAAAACGCGTCAAAATTGCCCCAATTAAGGAGATTATTGCAATCACTTTCCATCCTTGCGCCAATCCGCCATCTCATGGTATCTTAACACCATGAACTTGCTATCTAACATCTCAGCCTCACTTGTTTGGGAACCGGGTGTTGATAATGTCAATTTGCTATTCTTTAACTGCATACATGTGGTCAATAAAAGTCCGGCTACTCCTTTATTGCAGCTGAGGCCAAAGATGAAGATCAAATAAGCATGCAAATGAAAGTTCCTCACTTGACAATTGCTAGTGCAGAAGCCCATTCATTCGTACTTCCAGAAAGTCCGAGTGTGCAAACACTGTGCAAGCAACCGCGGTAAAATCTAGCAACGTTTCAACTTTCAATAACATGTAGCTCAATCCACGAGGTATAGTCTGTTTGGGATGGTTATTCGAAACATCAAGAGATGTGTCCAGTTGCAGCCTATCTGTACAAAAAGGATTTTACTTATGTTTAGTTTTGTGCACAAACATGAGAATTCGAATATATTTGGATACTTATTATTCAATGCCTTCAACCGTCACTTCCATTTGCTCAAATGCTTTGATGGTCTATTTAGAATCGTTTTTCTTTTTCTGTTTTCTAAAAGAATTTCTGGTTTGATTAGCATGGTTTTCGAGTTTATATTTGAAGTAAATATTGATGAAAACTAGTAATTATCTAGAAGATGAAAATTATGAAATATGTTGTGATAGATTTATTTATATACTGATATTATGTAAATTGATATCGTGATTAAATCTAGGGGCTCATAGCCGGGTCCCAATCAGGTCGTGTTGCGGACCAACCTGTCTCCTTATCCTGGCCATGCTGTACGGGCTTGTGTCTCACCATAGCCATGACTAGCAACCTGAGACAAGCACCACATCCCGATTTACATCTGTACCCAAGCTAATTGGCAATGTCTTATCAATGGGCAAAGCAATGAAAGTGTGCAAAATGACCTTAATCATCTAAAGCAAATCTAAGAAACCGTGTTGACTCGTGGGATAAGAAAGTTACATTTTAGGTACACTAGCATTCAAATCATTTTCAATTAACTTTTATCCTATAAAGTTTGCTGCTTTTTCTCTGCTTTTAATGTCAGTGGTAAAAAAAGGTGAAATTTTACCCTAAAGCAGAAAAGGAGAGTTTATTTGCTTATTTAATTTCTGGGGCTGGCCCTTCCTGTTGAATCTTGTGAAAAAGGAATCAAGAAGGTAGCCATGTAATTCGTGGATTTGAATTATTCATACATTTCTTAAGGCCCTGAATCTTGATATTTTATTGTAAAATTATCAGCAAAAGAAGATGATCCTATTAGAGCTAATATGTGTAATGCAGTGATGAGATGTTTGATAAGATAGATTAAACAACACTTGACACTATTAAGAAAATGAAGTTAAAATTTTGTTTACTGTGTTGTCTAGTATGACTTGTTACTACTGGCTACCAAAAATAGAGCGATGCAATTGTAAAATAGTTTAGAAAGAAGAGGGTAGACAAAAATTTATATGTTGGGGCGGAGGATTGATGAAAAAGAATTCACATAGCCAATTTGTTGCAAAGTTTATCTCTCTCCTCTTGTTAGTTACATCCCTCTCTTCCTTCACTGAATTTGTGCATTGAGGAATGTTTGGTACGAAGTATTGGACAAGATAGAACTCGATAAAAAAAATAGATACAATTTCATATTATGCTTTTATATAGTTTTGTACTGTCGAGTCCAACTTAAGAACATGCCACACTTGTGTAATCTTGATGGGAGAATTTCCTGTTGTTAACAGGTCTCATTTTTATCAAATCTCACCAAAAGATGGAAGATTAATTATTCAGAAAAATATACAAATTCTTCCATTTCTTATTCAAGACCAGAAATCCCACCATTGATAACTACTAGAATTATGGTCAAGAAAATTCTCCTGTGACGCCAAAGAACTGTCTGAAGATTCAACCATGTGCATAAGCTCAGTTTCTTCTTCCAATCCAAAATAATCTGCTTTTAAGTTGCTGTCGTTTTCTGATCTATCCAAACACAGACTTGGATTTAGTACTTCAAATTCACCACTCTCTATGTTTTTTCCATTGTCTGATGATTCTCCATCAATTCTATTCCCAGATTTTTCGTGCTTAGGACACTGAATTTCCATTTCTGATTTGCCCACCATTTCATTCAATTTCTGCAACTGTTCAAGAAAATCACAAAAAGATCTGAATTTAGGTATCCCTAGTTTTTGCTGCTTAATTGAACGAGAAATGGATGACAAAAAAAATAAATAAATAAAAATTGAGGGTTCCCATCTATTATTCGTGATACACCAGTATGTACCAATTAAGTCTATAACTCAAGCACGGGACAACCTTAGAACATTAGAAAATATTAAGGAAGAGAAGGCTTTGTCAATTCGTGTGTTCTAATTGACATTTCCACACAATAGCATGATTTAATCATAGTATAAAAATTGAAATACCTGGTTATCTAAGGACTGTTTCTCATTCTTTAAGGTTTCAAATTGTGATGCTAGACTGTTATAGTTGGTAAGAAGTATGTTGTAATCTTTTTCGAGTTTCTTCGACTTCCATCTAGCTCTCTTGTTCTGAAACCAAATCGCGACCTGTCGAGGCTGCAGTCCGAGCTCTTTTGCAAGCTGCATCTTCTTCCTCGGCTCGAGCTTTGTCTCAGACGCGAACATCGTTTCCATTGATCGAATTTGTTCGTCGCTAAACCTTCGTGTATTCTTGATCTTCTTTTTCTTCTTTGATTCTGTGTTCATGTTCGTAAAGTAGTCGGCTGAAGACCAGTATTCTTCTCCTCCATCAAACATCCTGTTTTTCAGATTTCACTCAAAATTCATGTAAATTTTAGCACTGAAGTGTGGTGTTTTGGAACTTTGTGATCTTGTGTTTTTATGTATTTCTTGGAGGTTGGCTTAGCAGAATCTTAAGTTTCTTTGTCTGGTGGGGATTCTGATGAGTCACTGATTTATATACAAAACCAGTTGAGCATGTTTCGCTGGTTTAAAAATTTTACTTATTTAACTTTTAAAATATGTAACTTTTTATTTTTAGAAGTTGAACATAAGTATTTACTTAGATAGTATAAAAAAAATAACTTTAAAATAATTATCATTTTCGCTTAAAAATAAGAAAATAATAACTAATCCAAATATAATTAGGAATGAGAAGCTTCCAAAGTAATTATTACGTTTTTAAGACATAGTCAAACTTTTGCATTTTTTAATTGCACTTCGAAAATTAAGAGAAATTATGCATTCTTGAACTATTCGCTCCTTGACTTGCAAGTGGACTTTTTTCATCAAAACTTCGCGGCCAAACAATTTTCATGGAGTTCAAATAAGTTTGACGTCCACAGCACATCGTTTCTTCTCATTAAATGAAAAGAGATCAAGTTACAGTGTGTCAAAATTACATTGGAGAGTAGCCCACTAACGACTATATATCTCAACTCATTTCATAAATGAGAAACAACAAAATTTTAATTTGCTATCTTGGCTAGCGATTCGAAGTTTAAGTAGTTATAATAACGACAATTATTTTCAACCATCATATAAGGTGAAATTTGCTTATCTAAATACATAAACTTTTAATGAGTATTTGAGGCTTAGTGGCTTGAAACTGCAAAATTATCATACCTTAACTTGAGCTTCAATTCGTGTTAACGACAGGCCGGTCTAGTTTGCCCTAGAAAAATAATTGGCATTTGGTTTTTGAAAAAATAGCTTACAAGGGCTATAGATGCTGGAGATCAAAACGACTTGGTAGTTTTCTATAAACTGGTCCTTGACACTGGTGGTGTTGGACCAATCCACTTTATAATCAAAATAGAAGTTCAAATTCAATTCTGACCACTACTTCTCCATGAAAAATCTAGTATATACACAATTATATAGAAAGAATATACGAAATTAGAAACTTAGCTTATTGAGTCTAATAACTAGATAGAAAATACTCTTCTAAGGAAACACATTGAAGGGGAACTAGCTTACAACTCAACCCTTGGCTGGAGCTGATTTTTTGGACAAAAAAAATGAATTTTTTACCGTTGGTTTTGAAAAGTAGTCGTCAAATTGCACCTCTCACAGGTGAGGCCCACGGTCAAAGATAACGGCTCTATTTTTGCTTAAAATTCGTTGAAGAAGCAGCTCTAGATATGGGCTTAATTTCTTGTCACTTAATGATATATCACTGGGCTTTTCTACTATTTTTTACGTATGTTCCAATGTTTTATAAATGTAGCTTGCATTTTACATTGGTAGATTGGAAATAAACTCCATTTGCCATAGGAGGAAAATGGGAGGTTTACAGGGTGAAGAATCGCATCCCGAATGTCCGGTCCAAGTGCGTATAAGCTGTGACCACATCCAAATTTACGTGGGTGGTGAAATAGTGAGGAAGGCCGCCACTCTTAGGATTAGTCAGGGAAGCTTGGACACCTGAGTTATAAAGAAAGTTGGGTCACATTCATTCAACAATCAAGAATTCATCAATCATTTAACTCTAGAAGGGCTCCTATCTTATTTCGTGTATTGTTTGTAAGTTAGTAGATAACACAACATTGTTTGCCATTGGAAATACATCCTGTCGGAAGGCGACTGGATAGGAAGGAGACATTGGGGGAGATCTTTCTATAGCAAATTTTCCATACAAATAAAGATACATTTAAGAAGGATAGTCCAAAGGCTTCCGAATGAGGACTCATTAGCTAAAGAAGGCCCTGGCCGATGAGGATAAATGATCGATTGGTTGCACGTCCTTTGGATCATGGGGAAAAGCTACTTGATTATAGAATGCTAAACATCTTACGGATAGGCCGAGGCAACATGGTTGTAGGCGAGGAATGATTCTCCATCTTGTAGCATGTCCAGACTTTCTTTCCATGTCGCATCTCCTTCCCTTCATCGAGTCTTTTCTTTTGTTTGAATAAATCCCGCAAGCGTACAAGATCATTGATGAGTAATACTTGATGAGTTAAGTATTGTCTCACAAGAAATAAAGTTTAATCAATGTGTACTAGTTTTCTACCATATTCGATTTATTGTAACACAAAAGAGATGATTTAGTAATTATTCTAAATTATTATATGAATTATGAAAAGCGTTGATATGTAAGCTTTATATGGAATGAGTGTATTGGATTTAGAATCCACCTATTGTTATCTATTTCAATTCTCTAGTTTGTAATTTAGTTTTATTCATACATTCTTGATCATTGATAATCCAATTTTATTTAACTTTCTTTTTCAAGATAAATTAAGTCTATTCTAGACATGATTCGGTTCTATTCCTAATTCTAATTCATATGAATAAAACACATTCAAGAACACGATAATCAAAGAGATTGCACATGCCATACATGCTACTTATAACATCTATTGTCCATGTATTAATCATGTAACGTTCTATTTGTTGTAAGTTTCTCAACACTACAATAAGCAACTAATTATTTAAATATCGCATAAACATTTAAATAATGCGTGACGAGCATGCATAATTAATAAAAAAATACAAGAATTACTAAAGTACTTGTATTGAATTAAAATAATCTTCATTCAATACAAATAAATATCCAGCCTAAAATGATATCTATTATATTATATGAAGAATAATGAAAAATCATCACTCAAAATGAATATGGAGACGAGAAGTATTTGAAAGCAATTTTTTGTTCTTCAACTCCGAGTCTTGATTCTTCAAGATATTGATGTAATTCGCCTTCAATTCTTGCTAGATTTGATCTTTTCTCTGAAAATATGATAATCTGGTCTCTTATTTTTGATGAATTTTGTGATATGGGTTTGAATTAAAAGGCTAGAGAAAGATCCCCTGAATCACACATTTCATAACCTTTGTGTGTGTGTGCACGCACGCGCATTGGCTTAAACATGATTCGAAGGATCCTAGCTAAGTCATGCCTTCAATACAAAGTTGTAGAGAAGATCGCTATGATCGTTACAGAATTCATATCGAAAAGATGTGACAAAGTTTTGAATCAGTATACAATATCTTAAGCAAATGCCTTGTGGTATGAACTTTTTTTGAAGTGTGAACATAAAATATATCTAGTGTAAAATAAATATTTTATTACTTTATTTGCTAAGAGACCGACGAAAAATTTTGTTTAGTGACAGAATAATTGTTGTTATTTGTCGTTTTCATTATCTTCTTTTGTTTTAAAATCCTGCAACGTGGTTACGTATATCACGTTGTGCCATAAATTTGTCAACTCAATCCTCTCTTGTTTACCCATTCATGGCCCATATGGGGCAAGTTTGATTAAAATTTAAAAGTAAAAATTCTTTCAAGTAAGCCTCTCATTTCTTTAGTTTAGAAAGTTAATAAAAATTGAAGTCAAAATCAAAAATTAATTTTAACTACATATTTCAAGGGGCTTATATTGTCGACTTCTAAATCACACATTTCATAACTTTTATTTAAAAAAATAAAAAATAAAAAAACTGATTTTTAGTAAAACCAAAAAGGCTAAAGGGGTGTTTGATTTGTTGTTTTCAAGCTATTTTCAATTTTATAAAACACTGAAAACGTATTTGATTTGATATTTTTGAAAATAAATTTTCGAAAAATAAGAATAAACTTATAATAGAAAACTTAAAACACATTTTTTACGTTTCAAGTATTTTCAGTAAAATTCTGAAAACATTTAAAAAATGTAAAACACTCATTTGAATAAAATTTAATTTAAATAAATTATAAAAATTAAAAATTTATATTTTTAACAAATAAAATTAAAAGATTAAAAAAATCAAAAAAATAAATTTTAATAATAAAATTGATAAATTCTAAAAAATATATCAATTATGAAAAATAAAAAATAAAAATATTGAACTCTCAATGATTATTTACATAAAAAATCTATAAAAAAAATTATTTAAACGAATACAGATAAAATTATTTTCAATTTATGTCATTAATTTTTATTTTTATTTTATATATTTTAAACTCAAATTTAATATTTATTTTTATTTTCCTTTTGTAAGGAAAAAATTCTAAGATTTACCAACTTTTAAAAGTGTATATTACTTGATAAAATATTAACATAAAATTATTTCTTTTTTATTGAGTAATCGAATTTCATGGAATGAAATATTATAAAACAATTTTTAGAAATTTCAAAAAAAAACGCGTTTGCTAGTTTTTCCCTTTTAAAATTATTTTTACAAGATGACAAACTAAACACATTTTTTAAAATTTTTAAATAGATACCAAAATAGAAAACAAAAAAATGAACTCAAAACTCAACCCAAATGGATTCTACAATTTTCGAATAAGTACGCATCATTAAGAGGTGATAAGGTTGAGCCACCGTCCCAGTTCTGATATTAATTTTCTTAATCATAATTAGGACACAAACAATAGAAATCCAAAGGAAACAACTCATTTGTCATATGTCACATCTACCCAATAATATCCTGCCACCTGTCTTGGACAATTTTTTCATCTAGAACCGGCCAAACGTGGCAATATATTGGTGGTCCAGCTCTGTAGTTTGTACCGACTGCAGAAGACACGTGCTAACTTCACATCTTCCAGAGGTGTGTGGGCCCACAGTTTTGTCTCGTCGAGGTTGTTACGTGTCGTGATCTAGGTAAAACATCTTCTTCAAAATTTTGTCATTTTTATTTTACTTTGGCCAATTTTCATTGGAAATTGATCGTGTCGAAAATCGTACCTGAGTTTTGATAATGAGTCGAGCTTCTTTGTATGACCTATAAAAGTATCTCTGAATAATGAATAGGTGGTGTGGGGTAACCCCATAAGCATGCATGAATTTACGAACTAAGAATTATTTGTTCGAGTTGGATTAACAAGAATTCGATGGAAAAGTCTGAGTGAAATTGAGATGTTACAAAGGTTGAATTTTTAGCATATGTTTAGGCCGTGCTCAATGTCAATTCTTGAGCTTAACTCATGTGCCAATCACAAGGTTCCCCAAGGTAA